ACACACACACACACACACACGTACCAGAAAGGCCAAGTGTACTGAGCCACCAGGGTGGAGAAAGTACTTTGGGAAGACATGGAACACTAATGAGAAAAGGTTTTCTGAAAAGACACGATGCTTTTACACTACAGTCTTTTGAAGACTGGGAGGGACTGAATGGGGAAAGGATGCTTATAAATATTATGCGTGCTGCTGGGAACAGTTTGAACAGAAGCAAAGGGACAAGGGCACTGGCATGGCCAGCCAGCCCAGGGCCTTGGTGACAAATACCAGGAACCAGACTGCGGGGGACTTTGAGTGCCATGAGTTTGGGCCTACTTGTGTTACAGCTTAGGTATCCTTGCCTAACCTAATTTAGAAGTAGAGGCTACTGCTGGAAGGGGTCACACAATGCCAGGGCTGGAGGCAATCACACCATCTAGGCCAGTGCTTTTCCAACTTAATAGCAAAAGCCTTTAGTAACAAAATAATCATTTGAGTGAATGCAGAGCTTGGGGTCCTACCTGCCACTGAGCCTTCCTGCCATTCCCATCCCCACTCCAACCAATTCCACAGAAAGGTTTGGAAAATGTCTCATCTAATTCAATCCTTATATTCTAGATTAAGATAAATTTAGGTCCAGTGAGTATGGTTAAATTATTTGTCTAAAGCCCTACAGCAAGCATGAAGCAACTTTTTAACAGGATTCCCAAATCAAGGTCACTGGTTAGATAAAGCTTCAGCTATAGGAACTCAAGTATTTTATATATATAAAACTAATATAATGTTAGTAATACGTAATACACGTGTAATATGTAGATTTTGAGCTTACAGAACAGGATCATGATTAACAAACACTAAAGGCCACTGAGAATACCAAGTAGTCTTATTTCTGAGAAGTCAAAACAAATCAGGAGTCTTAAAGACTTACGGTGGCATCTGAGCAGGAACAGCAGGCTATGGAACATGAGTAGGCAATAAACAAAAGCTCACAGATCGAAGGGCACAGGAAGGAACAAGCGCAGCAGCAACTGAACACCCACTTCCGAGTTGTCTACACTTAAAACTAAGAATCCGAAGTTAAGAGGCAAGCAAAGCTGAGAGGAACGGTGAAGGAAAGCCAAGTATTAAATTGGGTGTGCTTGACCTAACCAAGGACAAACCCCTCTCTCCAGACCAAGGCCACTGCAATTCACATGTTATAGAGGACAGAGGTGACAACTCTAGCCACACTCTTACTAACCTAGAAGGACTCAGAACCAATCTTTTCACCGCCTCAGCTACAGAAGCCTGCCCTGCGGCAACACCCAGAGTCTGAAATTACAACCATTTGTGGGCAGAGACCCAGGGGCAAATCACTGATCAGTAGTCACTCGTGTCCACACACAAGACAAATGTGCGTCTCAGCCTCAGTTGTACAGTCTCTTAATGGGAGTCCCACTGTTTTTACCTTGTGAAGAAAGTTTAACTTAAGAGTATCTGCTCTCGTCTCTTTGAAGAGTTGCAGGGACTTACAGAAGTTTACGAAGGTCTGCATACCTCACCACAGCTCTCCTACCCATAGAAAGAAGACAGTGGAGAGCTTCAGGTGAGGGAACCAAGCAGAATCACTTATCTCCAAACAGCACAGCAAGATGCCAACTAGGATCAGAGCAGGAGAAAAAGTAATCATAGTGAAGGGATAGTAACTATGCCAAGAGCTTTTGCGTATCCTCTTAAAAAAAAAAAAATTCTGGGATGGAATGGTATCAGGACTATTTTACAGGTGGCAAAACAGGCTCTGGGAAAGACCGTTTGCCCAAGGTCTCACTCAGCGATGGAGACAGGATTCACTGCCGAGAGAGCAGATCCCACTTAACTTCTCACTGGAAGAGCAGCTTGGAATGCTACTTCTGGTCTAGAAAAAGACATTGAGTGGCAGGTGGCCCCTCAAAAAGCCCATTAGCAAAGAACTACAGTAGAGTGTCTTTCAGGAATGAAGAGTTCCTCAAATGACTTTTTCATGTTGTCAAAATTACGTAAGCCTAACTGGTTTTAATCTTTCATAACATATCTAAACTTTAATGAAGACTCCTTGCTTGCCTTCTAGACAGTTCACTGAATAGAATCCCAAGTCCTCTTCATGAGTATCAGTCATTCTATCACAATGCAGCCCCTCTGGGATTCCCAAGATGGGACGAACCATTTAGCATATGGTCAAGTGTTTCCTCACAGCGTTTTCCTTCTCCAAGCCAAGGACTTGGCTTCAGGCCTTCTGCTATCCAAGTAACCATGAATCCAGGCCAAAGAAACAGCAGAGTTGACTTAGTAAGACCTCCCACTTTTCAGGCGCTTCTAAAAGCTTGCTATGTATGGAAAGTGTGGTCTGCAGCCCAGCAGCATGAGGCTCACTTGAGAGCCTGTGAGAAATGCAGAATCCTGGGCCTTGCCCCAGGACCTACTGATTCCATCTGCATTTTAACAAGATCTTCAGGCGATTTGCACATTAAAATGTGAGACGCACTGCTCTATCAACAAGTCCAAACTAAACCATTTTAAATACTGAGAAGTTCAAATAATAGAGAAGAGACCCTTCCCTGGGCCCAGAGATTACTTGCTAGGTTTTAGCATCTCTCCCAGCTCCCAGTCTCCAAAGATAGAGCAATAAAAGCAATTAAATAGCATTTCAAAGGGCAGTTTTCAAACTAATATGCATCAAATCATAATAAAGTACATAAAGTACATAATACATAATAAAGTACATAATACTCAATTTCTCATAGAGAAATACTAATTTCTCATAGAAACGGTCTCCTCCCCATTTTTATTATTCCTATTCCTGCCTACCAAAACTTCTCCCCTCCCAGACCTTTAGACCTTATACTGTGTTTTATTTTCACTCCCAAGAAAGATCGAAGGATCAAAATCATCCTTGATCCTTGCTTGCAGAGAGGCTAGGATAGGGAATTAGGACATCCTAGCACATGAACACAGAAAATACACAGCATAGTTCTGAGAGGGATTCTGCATATATTACCTTGTGAGTCATTTATTCCTTTAAACAACATCATGACAGCTCAATAAAATGAAAATTACTATATTCCAGATGCAAATACAATGAATAAAACAGTCTCTACCCTCCAGAAGGTGACACTGTTCATAGCCCAAGAGGGCACTAAGGAGAGTGAGGTACCTTCGTCAGGAAGAGAATGTAAGACAAAGTCAGACCTCAAAGAGGACTAGCAGATGAACAAAAAGGAAAAAGAAGGGGGGTGGTCCAGAAGGACCTTAACCAAGACCCCAGAGAGAACAAAAGCATGGCAAATGTAGCTAGCCCATAGCTGAGCCAGCTTCATTAGACCTGAGCAAAGGGGCTGGCATCAGCCTTGAGCCCAAAGCAGTTAGGTCTTCATCTTCCTTGGAAATGGAGAAAGAAAAAATGATGGACATATGTGCCAGTGATTTATACCTGGGATGGTAGAAGTTAACCCTGTGAATCAAGTAAGAAAACATGATCTCCATTTACTAATGGGTAACTAGCTTCAATGAGACTGATCTTTCAAGGCCATACAACCAGGTAATGGCCAAGTCTATCCAATGCTCTTTGCAAAATTCAAGCCAAAGGTCTAAGAATCCTTAGACTAATAATATGTATGGATCCTGAAATTAGAATTAAGAAACCAAGGTTCTCATCTCCTTTCTGCCACTGGCTAACCATGTGATTAACATAACATAATTAAAAAAAAAAAGATCCCTTAACCCATTTGGGTCTATCACACCAGAGGACTGGGCTACGTGGTATCTGGACCCTTCCTGCTTTAATAATTTATGGTTCTGGATTGTCAGCTTCAAATTGCACTTGGGCCAGAGTAGAGGGCCTACTCCCCAGCAATCAGAAAGCAGAGAAGCCCCCCAATCTTGCCTTGTCAGTCATTAGCCAGCATCTTGGTACAAGACAGAGAACCCCAAACTCATGTCAAATGCTCAAGCGTTTCACGATGGCTCTGGGAGGAAGCTGGCAATAACATCTCAAAAACTGGCATTTGCCCTCAGCAACCTGAAAACATCCTGGTTCTAGACTGTTCAGAATGCTAACAAGTATTCCATTTCCAGAGCAATTTATTTTTTGCCTACATCCAAAATGGATTTAAGGGCTTGTGCTACTACAGTAAAACCCCAACCCACTCAAGCAGCAACAAAAAGAGCAAGGCAAAATTTCCAAAGCGGTTTGGGGAGTGGAGTGAGAGGACAGACACAAAAAAACTGGACTAAAGACAAAAAAACTTTTCCGATTTAAGCTCAAATGTTAGTACTAAGACTGCTGGGGAAGTGGGAAGTGCAATAGGGTTTAAAATTGCTGGCTAAATTAAGCACACTGGATCATTAGAAGCAAACCTCTCCTGGATCTAAGAGTTTTGTTGCATGGGTCTTTGCAAATATAGGGACACAGAAAACACAGCTACTTCACACATAATCGTCTCTTATACTGACCAGTAAGAAAGAATGAAGGCATAATGTTCTCACAAGAGTGAGGTGTGGGATGGCAGGTTGGGGTGGCCAACGTGCCACACTCCCAATTTGAATGCTC